GGAAGCCCTCAAGACCCCTGGAACCTGGAATCACATCACTGAGCAAATTGGAATGTTCAGCTTCACCGGGTTGAATCGTAAGTGGTCCCCCACCATTTTTGTGGGTTGGGAAGTAGCTCAGAGCCACCTGGGAAGTACCAGGATTTATAGTTTGGAAACAGATCGGGGTGCCAGCTGGTCAGGTTCTGGTGGGGCCTCTCTCTCTAGCTTGCGTCCTCACATTGGAGGTGGAGGGAGAGGAAGAAAGAGAGAGAGAGAACGGGTGTGCGAGCTCTAGCTCTCTGGTCTCCTTTTGTGAGGGCAGGCTCCCATCATGGGGGCTCCACCCTTACGACCTCATCTGAGCCTAATTACCTGCCAAAGGGCCCACCTCCTAACAGCACCACATTACGGGGGTTAGGGTTTCAACATGAGAATTTTGGAGGGACACAAACATTCAGTCTATAACAATTATTATTATCCCATTCCCTCAAATTGGTGGTGTCTTCAGGGTACAAATTAGTTGAGCAAAAAATCACCTAACAGTCTGTTGTGACTTCGCAATAAAGTCAAAGATTGTGGCATCAAGGAAGTAAGGCAGTTCCTTCCTGTTTCACCCACGAGCATTTCTGCAGACGTGGCAAAGGCCTCCTGCGTGTGTTTGGGAGCTGAGAAGTGCCTGGTCAGTTTTCCTGCCCATTAGTTCATACACACAGCATTTATCCAGCACCTCTCGTGCATGGGGCCTTGTACAATGTCCTGTGGAGGTGAAATGTCAGAGTGAGGTTGCTGGTAGGTGCTCAGAGATAAGCACCAGGTTAAGGAAGAGAGAAAGGAAGCACCTCGAAGCCAGTTTTTCATAGTGGAATGTTCTTGAGTCTGAGGGTTGTTTCAGTCTGTAGGCTGTCCCGGTGAATGTAACATGCAGGGTTTAGTTGGTAGGTAGTCCCAGACTAAAATTCCCATGGGGAGGAGCGATATTAAACTTTCTGAGGATTAGAAAGTTGGCTAGTAAGACTAATTTCCAGAATCTACTCAACGTATTTCCTTGAGTGCCAACTGGACAGAGTACCTCCTTTTGTTTTGCTTCTCTGTGTGACGGGAAAAGAGGGAAAATTGTAATTGTCACAGAATTGCTGAGGCTGCACGGCTTAAAGGATTTCTACTACTCTGATTGTATCTCTTTTGGTTTTCAACAGCCAAGCAGGTTGAATATATGATCAATGAAAAGCACATCTATCTGCTGCCAAGTGGTCGGATCAACATGTGTGGCCTAACCACCAAAAATCTAGATTATGTGGCCACTTCCATCCACGAAGCAGTCACCAAAATCCAGTGAAGAAGCACCATCCCAACAGCACCACCAAAGCGGCCCCTGTCATGTGTGTCCTCTGCCTGCACAAACCGACTTGTACATATCACGGATTAGAGACTTGAAGGACTGAAAAAAGCTGCTCTGGTGAGGTGGCCTTTGTTTCAACTGGCCCCACATGAAGAGAATATCCCTTGAGAAGAAATACGGGCCTAGGATGAGAGCCTTTTTGGAGGCCAGAGCAAATTATGGTTTCTGTTTAAGAAGAATAAAAAGGTACCTCGATCATGAGTCGTAGCTCTGTTGTCCCCTCGCTAGAAGCAGGAGTGTTGCCTGCATTGCTTGGATGCTTCCTGTGTTGCGTGACTCTGTACAAAGTCTAGTCCCAAAGATCAGGTTGTCTGAAGAGTCACGTGTGATTGTGGGTTTTGGCCGTGTCTCCACCCGGAGTGTCTTGTCTCCCTGCTCTCTCTGCATGGTTGTGTCCCTAGCCCTAAGCTTTCATTCTTTAGGGTGAGCAGGGAAAGAAATATATTGACATCACACACACACATTAACTGAAACAAAAGTTTCACAGGACAGTATTGACCCTTGCGATGTGTAGTGCTTTCTGATATTTTCCAGTCCATTCTATTGTACTGTGTTCTGTTTCACTAAAGAAATAAAAGTGCTGCTTGAGACCTATGGAATTGACTTTGTGATCCACTAATGGGTTGGAACCCATGGCTTAAACTGAATGCGATAACGGGATTCACTAGTTGCTAAAGAAAACGAACATATATTCTTGCAGCACGCCTACCTTTAGTGAACGGGCCGCATCACAGCTCCTTGTCAGTTTCTTGGGCTTGTCTTTCAGAGGCTAGCTGTCTTCTTATATTATTAAGGCCCTGGACTTCATGGATTCCTAGAAGGGTTGACATCCTTCAGGGTGGTTCTGGAACACAGCCCGTCCCACTGCAGTCGAACACCTCCACCTCCTACTCTTTGGAACCATCCAAGCCGCTTGAACACAGGTCATATTTTACAGAGGGACTCTCTCCATGACGGTTTTGTACAATCTGAGTCTTAAACAACAAGAGGGCTACTACTTGGAGTTTTAAAATATTGAAAGATAATTCTTGTAATTTTAACAGGATCTGCCCCTTTCTAGGATGCCTTTGAGTTATAAAATTCTACAATCTTGAAGGATGATTGAGGTCTTAGAAGTCATGAACTCCAGCCTGTCTCCCCAATGCAGTGGTCTCCCCATATTGTTCCCGACTTGTCATTTTCAACCAGGGGAGGGGTGGGGGGTGGATTCTTTCAGTACTTGGTGAAGCATCCCATTCTGTTGATGGAGCCCCTTAACTAAAAAGATCTTTTACTTTGATCCAGAATTTGATCATCTGCCCTACTCCCCAGGTGCCTTGCCTCCCCTTCCTTTAAACCACAAACACTAAGTTCACCGGCTCTTCTAATTGATGACCTTTCAAATATTTGAAAGGAGTTGTTATTCCTTGTTTTGCTTTTCCATGTGAGACTGGTCCCCACCGCCCCACATTCTTCATTCAGTGTTTCTGCACAGGGTATGGTTTCCAGGTCCCCTAATCATCCAGCTGGGTCTCCAGCATCCTTCAGAGAACCCTGTGCAAGTGTGTGATTGGGCCTGACTATGGGAACAATTTTTTTTTAAAAAAGATTTTATTGGGGAATTGGGGGAGGGGAATAGCGCTGGGGAATTGGGGAAGGGGAACAGACAAGTCGCTGTCCTTTTGCTCCTCAGTCTAGCTGTGGAGGATGTTGCTTCACTGGCCCAAGTTGGCATCATTGCGTTCTTCCCGGGTGAGGCAGATCGGTCACCGGCCTCTGGACAGCTGCTCACGGCGGCTCTTGGCAGCTCACATCGACTGCCGGTTGCTCACGCCGGCTGCCAGCAACACATGGCAACCCACTGCAGCAGGGTAACGCCGTCGCTGGCGACTCATGGCAGCCCAGCTCCAGGTCGAGCTGCCGTTCACCATCTTAGCCGTAGAGGGCAGTGTCACTGGCCCTCATGTGGGATCCGAATCAGGGTCCTGCTGCTCAGAGCTGGCGTCCCAAGCAAACAATTTTAAAGCGATGAAATGAACTCACACTCACCTTTCGTGACCTTCCACTCCGTTTCCTTGCTATCAGTATTTGTTCTCCTTCCTATTTAACGATGCTTGTTAGTAAGGGAAGACAGGCAGAATAGGAGTCGAATGATTCTACCTTCTGTCCATTTTTTCTCATTCTCTCCAAGCATAGCTTTAAGCCATGAACTCTGAACTAGGGTGATAGTACCTGCAAGGGGGCAAAAATTAGTGTTTGGGGGCAAAAATGGCCTAAGATATTAAAACGGTGTGTGGCCCTCCAAAGCACAGTCCTACCCGATAAAATCTGATCTCTTGGTATTTGGTTTCTTTTGTTAGGAGAATTTAAATTTAATTGTTCTCTCTGCATAGGGTGGGGCGTTAATGAAAAACGACTCAAAAACACTTCAAAGTGCCCCCACCAAAGTGCTGACATGTTTGTAGAATTTTAAAAAGCCCCAATCTCAATGGAATTGAGCCTTCTTCATTCCAGTCTTACATGTATTTTGGTCAGTGTTTGCCCCCAGTGTGTTCCTATGAAAAATGGGCTCTGTGTAAGTTGGCAACAGCTGGGCTTAATGAGTTAGGTCGGTTTCTTTGCTGCAGGACTTCTCAGGGCCTCTTACATACAGGTGCGCACTCTGACTTTCACAGGTAGGATGGTTTCATAAATGTTGTCTGCTCACACCTCTGGGCGCTGCCACTTCCAGGTTGTGTGACTTGTGAGCAGGTCACCTAACTGCTCAGAGCCCATCTTGTGACTGTAAAGCAGGGACAGACTGTAAACCTTCACAGGGTGGTTTTGAGGAAGAAATAAGTGATTGTATACTTAGCACATAAAGACCTCAGCAAAATATAATTCTTACAATCATTTCTTATTACTGTTAGGAAGTTAAGATCTTCTATGGAGGCTCCTGGGAAGAATCTTAAGTTGTCCTGGCACAGGCCACTAATCAACTTGGCTGCCGGTTGAGATTGGTAGCAGGTGTCAGATTCCAAACTTCCTTACATAAATAGATGTTAAATGCCCAAACACACCTTCCCACCTGTCTGCATTGGTTTAAAACTGACCAATAATCCTGGTCCACCCCCTTGTTCCTTTCCCCAGCCTTTGGTTGGACTTGTGCCACTGTGGCTCCTGCCCAAAGGGTCTGCAGAAGCGTAACACGTCTCAAGGGTTTAGCCTGGCTCTGGCCCCCAAGACCTTGAACTTGGAAGGCGCCCGCCTTGCATATCACATGGATTCAACAAATAATTGTGGTCTTAGTGCTCCTTTCTTGTCCTCATTCACACTCTGGCTTCTCATTTGGGTGTTACTTTCCATTTCTGGTATTTGCTCCTGCAAAATCTTACCCATCTGGCTTCCCAAAGCAGAGCTGCGGTGCTTTTCCGTAACCTTCACTGCAGCCTCACATCTAGCTTTGACAGCCCTGCCTCTTCAGGCAGGTGGGCCCCAGGTGAGATCATTACACGCACGGTCCACCCAACCTGCATCTCAAATGAAACCACTTCAGAACTCGGAGGTTTCATGGGCAAGGAAACCAGCCACATTCCAGGAAAAGCATTTTCATTTTATTTAAAAATTATGTACAATTCATTAAGCCTTCATAAATGCTTTATTTTAAAATTAGAATCCTCTTTTTGTTTTTAAACTTTGTTTTTGAACCTGAAGAAAATCTTGGGGGTGGGGAATAGGTGACAGGCTCCTTAGGATTCTGCAAAGGGATGGATGTAATGCAACAGCAGTGGCCTGAGCCCCGTGGCCTAAGTAATGTAAGGAACACTAGCCAGGCAGGCCCCCTAGGGGCCAGTGGCAGCTGGGCAAGAACTGCATGATGGGAGTTCCTGACACTGTTTGCTGGTGAGGCACTCAGCATGGGGGTTGTAGGAGAGGGGCACTTTGCCTATTCCTACCAGGCAAAAGTAGGTGTTGGGGGTGGGTGGTAGCTGTGGAGCTATCTATGAGAAGTCATGCACTGCTGAGACTCAGGGGGTGCCAGGCAGGGGTGTGAAGTCAGTAAGACATGGCCGGAACAGGCATCGCCAGCTGGAAAGTCTTCACTTCCACATGCTGTGGCCCTCCTGTTTGCAACACCTGCTCTGGTTTGGAGGGGAAGAGGGGACAAAGTTACATGGGGTGTAGGTTATACAGTAGCCTAGGGTGTGACAAGAATTTCCGAGGATTTCCACTTCTCGGTGGGTGCTGGCGTTCCCCATCGATTTCATGGACACTCGTGAAGACCACTTACAACTAAAAATCTGTCTCACACTGCCCAGTGTTCACTCTCTGCATTGCAGAAACTTTAGGCTGAAAGTTCCACTTTCAGTTAAAACAGTGGTTTTTAACCTTTTGTGGGTCTAAGACCTTTGAGAATCTCATGAAAGCTTTAGCCCTCGGGAGGGGGGGGGGAGGGAATAGGCATAAGAACACATACACTAAATTCCTACAGTGTTATGGGTTTCATAGACTCTCTGAAGTCCAACAATGGACCCCGGGGTGACGGACCCCAAGTTAAGGACCCCTGAGTTAAAGGTTCCTGTGGGCAAACATTTTCTTTTGAGCTGCAAATAACCCAGAGGAATGATCGGTGTCCCCCTCTCCATGTGGTTATTGATTCAGTGGGTGTGGGGACGTAGGAGAAATGGCTGTGGAGGAAGGGGAGATAAGCCTGGATGCTATGCCCCAGGGAAAAGTTAGGAAATGGTTTGGAGGTTCAGCAGACAGCACTGGATCACTGGATCCCTGATCCAGGGAACCCAAGGGTGGGAGACAGATCAGAAAGGAACGCCGTTGTCCCAAAGACAATCTTCACTTAACTTCCACATTTTCCCTAAGGCTGGCTATGTGCTCTGATCAGAATTATTCTTCAAGTAGGTATGTGCTGTAATCCTGCCATCTGGTGGTTATGCTTGGAATTGCATCGCCCCCACATCCTGGTGAAAAACCAGCGTTCTAATACGTTCTTGGAATAAAGTACACTTAGCTGACCTGCTGGGATGCAGTAAGGGCTGGGGGGTGGGGTGACGGATGAAAAAGAAGAATGATTCTTCAATGTTCCTGTGTAATGCACATTGAAGTCCCATGAGAACTTGCATCCTTCTTGGCTGACCTGGGCACTCTTTGGTTTGTCATGGCTAAACTTGCTTTAACAGCTTAGAATTTTTCCATATAATTTTTTTGCTTTTATTTGAACTGAAAACCTGAAGTTCCATCTCTGGCTCCCAATTGGATCTTTCTGCTCCCTGCTCCTTCTCTTGCAGAGCAGATTTATTGATGGATCGATCACTGCAGATCGGAAGCCAAAGCAAGATGTATCCCTGGGAGAAACAGTGACTTGAGGTTCCATCTCACATTCTTTCCATTCCAGCTGAGACGCACTTCCCAGGCTGCTGGAACCTTTATCTAACAGGAAACCGGTCACTGACAGTTTTCTGTACTGTAACTTCACATGCCCACATGGGTGAGTCCCACTGCCCTAAAGTCATGGAGGAATTCTTGGTGCATCTCCTGAGCTAACCTTCATACCTGCTACTCCAGCCTCCTATGTGCCTGTTTGCCAGTGGCAACTTCTGAGCTAAGCTAAGCGTGAAATATGGCATCAGGGGATCTCAAAGAACAAAAAGGGCATCAGGGGTCCCAGAGTGGCATTGTCAGCTTGGGGTAATTTCTTCTCCAGTCCCAGACTGGCCTGTGGACAAGACCATTTCTAGCATGTTCCACTGGAGGCACCTCATTTCATTATGGCCACAGCAAGGCTTTGAGTCAAACTGGAGGCAACGAGGGAAAATCTGCCCAACGGACAGGGGTGAAGAGGTGATGAGGAAAGCGGACACTCTGTCACCTGTGGGAGGCCTTGGGGAGAAGCAGATGATGGGAGGGTGGGTTCTCCCCCAAAGCTCTGGAATCTCACGCACCCGACAAAGGCTGTCTGCCCTGTCATGTGATCAGAGGCGTTAGATTGGAGTTGTCCTCAGAGGCCCTCTCTCCATCAGATGACTTCTTTCTTTTTCGACCACCTGAAAAAGAATTTGCAAGGATCAATCAAGACTGGGGAGACATTCATACTCTCTTGACATTCATAGTTCTCTTTAAAATAGAAGCAAAAATGGAGACAAAGCCCTTCATAGTTTGGCAGGAAGTAATCTGCATTGTATCCTGGTGCTGATATTTAATACTAGGATGCAACTTCCATCTGAGATGACAGCTCTAAAAAGCCACAAACCTAGGCCAGTGCCAATGGAATGGAGATTTCCTGGAGAGGACTGAAGGTAACGCCTCAAGATATTCCTTTCCCATCCCCTGAAGGTCATGGCCCAACTGACTGCCAGGCACCCTCTGAGAGAGGACTGGTCTCACACCTTTGATGTCCCATGAATCAGAGGTGGTGGGTGTGTAGCTGGGTGCCATTCTCAGGGGCCTACATTTTCTGGCTCTGAAGCACCTCCTCATCTGCACCGGGCATGTGGGGGTGATTACCTAATTGTCCTCAAGGACGGAAGGGCAATCAGTTTCCAGCTCTGCTGTTTTTAGGAAGGAGTATTTTTAACCTTTTCTCTGTCATTGACTTCCTTCCATGGGAGGGTATTGCTTTCCTGCTGAGTCTCCTAACATAAATTATTTCTTTAAAGGACCAGATAATAAATATTATAGGTTTTGCAGGCCACATGGTCCCTGTTGCGATTACTGAACTCTGCCATTGTGGCCAGAGATAACAAATGGGTCTATTTATGATCCCATAAGTCTTTATTTACATGAGCAGGTGGGGGTGGGGGTCATGATCGGTCTGTGGCAGACTCCTGTCCTAGATGACCACCAACGGAATGGGACAGGTCCCCAAATTGTCAAGGGTGCGGTTCCGGCCCAAATCCTATGATGAATTCCCACACTTGTACTTCATTAGGGTTCCCAAAAGGGGCCAATGGCTCCTCCTCCAAAAGTCAGATCTTAACATGCTTTTTCTATGAACCGTCTGGTGGGCAGCTTTCGTCCGGGTGAAGAGCTACTCACTGAAGGTTCTCAGCAGCCTCTTGCCCACGGTTTCCTCGAAGTCGCTACTGCAGGGGCTGGTTTCTGTGTCCAGGTTGATGTTGCAACGTTCACTATCTGATGCTGAGAGAAAGGAAAGAAGAAACAAGTCAAGTGTTTCCAACCTACACACCCAGCAATCTAGGTGGGGTGATTCTGGTTGACGTTCCTCAGCAGGTAAAAGTTAAAAACCAGAGCCAAGGCAGCAGTGGCCCTGACAAGGGAAGGATGCCCCGGAAGGCATTGGCTCTGATTAGTTAGCAAGAGGCACTTCAGTGCCCCAAAAGGAACAAAAAAAAGAGAACAGGAGCAGGAATCCAACTATCCAAACACTTTGGCAGGAGAGAAGAAGAAAATGAGATGTTCTCCTCTCAGCATCTTTACCAGACAAAAAGCACATCTGAGGACAGGTAAGGATGTCTCCTTTCTCTGCTTTCACAGACCCTGGAAAATCACAGGGCTAAATAACAATTAAGCACATGCCCCCATCTTTCCTACTAAAACAGTGGGAATTCAGAAAGCCATTGAATCTCAGAGCCTGGAAGGTGCCCAGGCTCTACTGCCTTTGGAGTAAGAATGTAACCTGTGAGGCATGTGGAGGCAACTGCACTGCGCCCAGAGCCACGAGGCTGCTCCCTCCTAACGCAGTACACGGACTGGGCAAGTCATTTCCCTTCTCCAGGTCTCAGGGTCCTCATGTGTCACAAAAGGAAGGTGAACTAGATCATCTCCAAAGACTATCCCATCTTCTCCATTGTTATTCCTTTGATGTAATTTCTTGCTACATGCTTTAGCTACTAAATTCAGTGTGTGCAGGAGAAAAAGAACATCAGTTCTAAATTCAGGTCCTGGAACAGTAATTATGTATGTCTCAGATTTTCAGCGTTAGCTGCAAGTTCAAACATGTTGTCTCACTGACTTTGAAACTCAATGAGCACTTGTTGGGTCATTGCTCTGGACTTGAGGGGTCTCAAACTATGGCCTGGGGCAGGTCTAGAAGGTCGGGTGAGGTAGCTGTGAACCCGGGGTGTGGGCGGAGGGGGCTGCTGAAAGCTTGGGGAATTCTGAGGCAAGCACAGAAGGACCCCAAGACAGTTGGGACACTGGGAGCTCAGGGCAACACCATTGTCAAGACAGAGGTGTTCAGTGTCTCGGAGGGAGTGATATGATCTCAGGCTTCAGGACAAGTCCTACAGATTACATCTGCTCTCTGGGTCCCAAAGGAAGGGAAAAGCCCTGCCAGTGAGCATGAGGGCTGATAGCAATGTCCTAATCTATAAGGTAGGTCTAAGAATACCTACTATTTAGACAACATGGTCCCAAGCACTGGGATGTGCCCTCTCTATATATTATCTACGCTCAAAGCGACTTTATGAGCTAGTCATCATGATTTGTAGCTACTGACATAAGGAAACTTACCTATTAAGACAAGGAAACTGAATCTTTGGTTAAAGAAACTTGCGTAAAATTGCATAGCTCTTAAGTGAGGGGACCAGGCTCTGAACCCAGGTGGAAGTCTAGCTGCTAACACTGCCCTACACACTGCCTTCTGGGAGAATGAACTCAGATGGGCCTGATGGCTGCTCAGTAAATGTTAGTTTCCTTCCCTGGAAACTAACGCAAGGCGCAAGGCGGTGGGGAATTTTACATGGGGGCTGGGGTCCCGGGCTCCCATCACCCAGTGCCCCATGGTGATGACCACCCCCCCTTTGCTCCTCTGGGCCCATTTCCCTCCCTGACCTGCTCTCGTGGGAACAGCTGCAGGAGATAGCGAGAGGTGCTGGGTGCTGTGCTCCTCGAAGTCTGTCATATCCTCCTGGGTGAAGGCCATCTCCTCCATCCTCAGGTACACAACCTCGCTGGGGCTTCTCAGCCCACCTGAGCGGCTGCCTGGGGAGGACAGCGAGTGCGTCACCTCTCTGCTTTGGAGAAGACCCGGGGCTCCATGAGGCAGTGCTTAGAAGGCAGGCAGGGCTGCCCTCACTCCAAGGCAGCCCCGCCCTCTGCCTGAACGACTTACACCTCAGGCTGTTCCTGTTGTTCAGGAGGGTGACAGCAGGATCATCCTTGGGGGTCTGGGGTGTGCCCCGGGTCGTGGGAGCCTTGGTGGAGTCTCCGTCAGTGAAGGCCTCCATGTCGGGGGACTGGGGTGAGCTGTCCATGTGACTGGCGGTGAGTGCATTCTGGTACTGCTGCCGTGTGATCTGGAGGGACGAGGCAAAGGGCAGAAGCTCAGGAGGAGCGGGGCTTGATGTGGCCCACCTTCCTGGGCTCAGACGCAGCCCCACCAGGGTGCTTTGGAACCCAGGCCTCTGCGCCCGGGATCCATGAACTGAGGCCCTTCCCCAGCCTATACCAAGCCGGGGGTTGAGGGACAATGAGGGGACCCTTTGCTTGTTTGCCACCAGAGTTCCCACGGACTGTCATTTTTATTGGATCTGGACACTTAAAGTTAATGTGACAAACTTTTGGGGGTGCTCCTCTCTGGGTTGATGCTGTTTCCAGGTTCTGAGGGCTTGGGGTGCCAGCTACTGGGATCAGAGGAGAAGAACCCACGGCAGAACCCAGAAACCAGAGGACAAACAAGGCTACAAACCCCACAGCAGCTGCCGGGTGGCCCCCAGGGCATCTGAAGGGGCAAGATGCCTTATTTCTATAGTAAACATGTATATATTTTTAAAAAAGATTTTATTGGGGAATTGGGGGGAGGGGAACAGTGTTGGGGAATTGGAGAAGGGGAACAGCCAAGGTGTTGTCCTTCAATCTTAGTTGTGGAGGGTGCAGCTAGCTCAGCTCCAAGTCCATTTGCACTGCTCAGCTCAAGGTGCTGTGTTCAATTAGTTGCAGGTGGGCGTAGCCACCATCCCATGTGGGAGTCAAACTGGCAGCCTTGTTGTTAGGAGCACATGCGCTCACCAGCTGAGCCATCCTGCCACCTGTTGGCAGCTCAGCGGCAGCTCAGCTTGGGCACAGCTTACTGGCCCATGTAAGAATTGAACCAGCGACCCTGTTGCTCAGAGCTCGTACTCTTAACCAACTGAGCCACTCGGCCAGCCCTCTGTAGTAAATCTTAAGCTAACTCTGTTCCTAGAGTCTTTTCAATGAGTAACGTTTAGATTGAGAGAAACGTTAGGGTGGATTTTTTCTAAACTATATTTCCTGTAAATTAAAAATTGGGTTGCATTGGTATCCATTTTCTAGTTGTTTCAGGAGAAGAATTATTAGTTCTTTTTTTCATTTACTTAGGTCTTTTTTTCTCAATTTATTTGATATGTTTTTAAGATTTTTACTAAAATATAGCTAACATACAATATTATATTAGTTTCAGTTGTGCGCTATATGTATTCAACATTTATATACCTAAAAAAGTGATCACCATTATAAGCCCAGCAACCTTCTGACACTGTACCACACTATCACAATATTATTCTTGACTATATTCCCTATGCTGTACATTACATCCCCATGACTTACTTGTTTTCTACCTGGAGGTTGGAACCTCTTATTCCTCTTCACCTTTACCCACTTTAAAAATTTTTCAATTACAGTTGACATTTGAT